TCCAGCTCACAGATCACAGATCACAGGAGACCACAACTCCAGTTCATAAGGAGAGGTCACTGCTCCAGCTCCCAGGGCAGGATCACAACTCCTGCTTACCAGGAGAGAGAGGTGGGCTGGGGAGGGTGGGGGGAAGAGGGCATGTGGGGGAGACCCACTGACATGATTGTGGTCCCCTCTCATGAGCCAGAACGGTGGTCCCTTCCTGTGAACTAGAGCAGTGGTACCCTCCCCGTGAACCTGGAGCTGTAGTTCCCTCCTATGAGCTGGAGCTGTGGTCCCATCCTGTGAGCTGGAGCTGTGGTCCCATCCTGTGAGCTGGAGCTGTGGTCCCATCTGTGAGCGGGAGCTGTAGTTCCCTCCTGTGAGCTGGAGCTGTGGTCCCATCCTGTGAGCTGGAGCTGTGGTCCCATCCTGTGAGCAGGAGCTGTGGTCCCTTCATGAGCCTCAGCTGCAGTCACATAATTTTCAGTAGTTACTATCTCCTGTTTACATTGCAAGGAAATTTATTTTTATTGTATGTTACCTTTAGCATTAAAGTGTCACTTTATATAGCAGTTGGTTTTACCTAAGACTCCTTTCTGTCTCAAAGAAACAGAACCCTGTAAGGTACAGCAAATTAAGCTGCACTGGATATGCATTAATGTATTCATTTTTCTTGCATCACTGTGATCAAAATACCTCAGAGAAACAGCCTAAGGGAGAGAAGGTTTATTTCAACTCATGGTTTCAGAGAAATTCCAGTTCATCATAGCAGAGGAAGCGTGACTCCAAGCATGTCAGGTAGAGCTGTTCACATCTCAATAGACCAGGAAGCAAAGATCAGAATCCAAAACCAAGATTGGTTCAAAGTCCCCTGATAATGGCCAACCTGCACCAGGCCAGCCCCGTTGTAGCACTGCAAAAATATTCTGCCCCTGATCCACAAAGGCCCTTGGCCAACTTATAATGTAAAATGCATTTAATTGAACTTCAAGAATCCTTGGTGTCTCCAACAATTTTAACACTGTTTAGATATTCAAAATTCTATATTAAATCTCAAAGAAAAGTCTTTGAGTTAGGAGCCCCTGGAAAATCAAAAAGCAAGTAACATGTTTCCAATATACAATGATGTAGCAAAACACTCCCATTTCAAAAGAAGGAACAGAAAGATAGCAAAGAAAGATTGGACCAAAGAAAGACTGAAACCTACCAGGGCAAATACTAAATCTTGTAGCTCCAGTATCTGGGGCACATTTAGAGGTGTGTCTGAACATCCCCACTTGAGCATCCCACTTCTAGGGGCCTGCTGTTTGCAGGACGCAGAGCCGTTCTCTTTGACTGGATCCAGGTTTCCGCTTTCCTCAGAAGAATCCCATGTACTTCTCATCTTCAGCATTGCTATCTAGATTTCATCTTCACTGATTCGTGCACTCTGGGGGCTCTCTGCAGGGAACCTAATATGGATACACATTGCTTAGCCCTAGAAGCTTTTCTCTGGAACCTGATGAACACCTCTCTGACTCTGTGACTCTTAACACTCTGCGTGTTCGCAAGACCAGCACCAGGTGGATTATGCCAGGTTCTACTGCCTGCTCGATCTATCATCTGGCTCTTTTAGGTCTCGGCTGCAATGGCCTCTGAATGCCTGTGTGTTTGGACCTGGGGAAATAGTTCAATAGGTGGCCCTGTTCAAGCCAAGCACTTCTGAGGCTCTTTCTTTTTAAATGGGGTTTTTCAAATGGGTTTGCAGTCTGACCCTCTGGAGCTTTTGATAGGGGCTGTCTTGTCTTCAAGTCATTTTTCCTAGTGTCTCATTGCAAGGTGCATAGCTTGTTTTTAATGGTGCTGTTCTCTTCAGAAATTGAAGCTAATTTGTTCATAGTTCTTTGTCTGTCTTACGTGTCTCTTTTCCTGGAAAAACAGAATTTTTTTTTCAAATCTTTGTTCTCAATTCTTGGTTGTGAGTGTGCGTGCGTGTGTGTGTGTGTGTGTGTGTGTGTGTGAGAGAGAGAGAGAGAGAGAGAGAGAGAGAGAGAGGAGAGAGAGAGAGAGGTATGATGTGTATACAGGTGTCCCTGGAGGCCAGAAGATGGCATTGGATCCCCTGGAGCTGGAGAAATGGGTACTGGAAACTAAACTCAGGTCCTGTGGAAGAGCAGCAAGTGCTCTTAAACACTGATCCATCTTTCTTTCCCCTAAAGATATTTTTAAACAGCTATTGAAATATACAGTAACAGAAGGAATACAAGTCTAGCATTCAGCCATCTTTTAGAATGGTAATGAAGAGGTATTTGTTGATGGAACTAGCACAGTCCTATACAAGGCAATTCTCACTGTAAGACAGATTAAAAGAAGCAAGCAATAACCATGCCACGGCCCAGATGTTATGCTGCTTAAAATTTCCTTTGCCTAGTCCATTACTTTCGAATTCAAATTCCCCCAAATTTTCAGGACTCAAGGAGAATATAGCCAGATTATTTAGCAGAATGTTGCATGAATGGCCTCTTGTACAATTGCCCTTCAAAATTTTATTCTCATTTGAAACTTTATGAACATAGTCTTTGCTATCTGAGTTTCAGTAGGCATTCTGATTTTCTGAACTCCACCCAGAATAGCCCATTAAATGGAACTTACGTCATTCTAAGGTTTCACTAGCATACATCTTCAAATTCTTTCACATCCCTCCCTCACATCAGTCCAAAAGCCCTAAACACAACATGGTTAGGTTTACTCGCAAAAAGACTAATTCCAGGTTTTTGTATCGTTTGTTTCTGCTGGACAGCTTCAGTTGTCAACTTGATACACCTGGGAAAAGGGACCCTCAGTGCAGACTGCATCCATAACACTGGCCTATGGGCACGTCTGTGAGACATTTTCTCAATTGAGTGATGTGGGAGGGCCCAGCCCACTGTGAGTCATGCTACCCCTGGACAGTTGGCCCTGGGTTGTTTAAGAAAGCAGGCTAAGCACAGGCCAGAGGAGCAAGTTCCTCCATGGTCTGTGCTCCAGCTCCTGCCTCCAGGTTCCTGCCCTGCTTAAGTTTCTGCCTTGACCTCCCTCAATGATGGACTGTCACTTGGAAGAGTAAGATGAAATAAACCCTTTCCTCCCCAACTTGGTTTTGGTCAGTGTTTTATCACAGCAATGGAAACCAAGTCAGAACAGTGTCATTATGACCAAAATACCTGAAAGAATCAATATAAGGGAAGAAATTTTTATTTTGCCTTATGATTTCAGAGATATTTCAGGCCATCATGGTGGGGAAGACATGGTAGTGAAAATGGCTCCATCCATGTAGTAGGATGTGGTGGGGCTCTTCACATCTTGGTGGACAAGGAAGCACAGAACACAGTCAGAACCAGGGATGTATATAGTCTTCAAAGTTTACCCAGGGGACCTACTTCTGCCAACCAGGCCCAACTCCAGAAGGCTCTACAACCTACAAAAACGCTGTAGTCTAGGGACCAAGTGGGCAAAACCTAGGCCTGTGAAAGATAGTTCTGATTCAAATTCTATCAGATTTTGCTGAGCAATTGTAACTAGAAATCAGATGTTTTGTTTCCTCATTCTCAAGCTTACTACTGACTACAGTGCATTTCTCTTGTCTGTTAAACATTTTGTTACAAATGGTAACTATTGCTATTGTGTTTTGTTTTGTTCCTTGGTGGTTTGATTGGTTTGAGGAGTTTAAAACAGTCTCACTACAGTATTCCACACTGGCCTCAAACTTACAGTCCTGCCTTGGCCTCCCAAATCCTGGGAATATAAACAAGTGTCACCATGCTTAACTAAGCTATTATTTGTATGTTTATTTCTAGCACTCTTCCTAGGCACTGAGAATCTCCAGCTAAGCTATAGCAATGAAAATACTGTCCATTTTTAAAGTAAAAACTATGCTAGGGGGCTGGAGAGTGACTTTGTCAGTAAAGTACTTGCCATGAAAGCATTAAACCTGAGCTCAATCCCCAACATCTGGGTAAAAAGCTGTGCATGTTAGTATGTGCTTATAATCCCAGTGCTAGGGTGGCACAGTACAGAGGAAGGATCCTTGGGGCTTGCTGCCAGTCAGTCTTGCCAAGTTGGTGAGCTCTACTTTCAATGACAGACCCTGTCTCAAAAAATATGATGGAAAACTATTGAGGAAGACACCCAACATCAACCTCTGGCCTACACACACACACAAAACACACACACACACACACACACACACACACACACACACACACACATGGGGAAAAAT